ATACAGTTTGGATTTGTTGTAACTTTTTTTTTTAAGTGTAAAAAGTTACATTGGTCTCATGATCTCTCCTATTCCTCGATATATACATATATAAGGGGATCTATATATTTCATAATAATTTATATTTTTTTAATTAAATTTTAATAATTTAATCATTAAAATTAAAATTCTTAATATATAAATTAAGTTTGTAAATTTTTAAAAAATTTAAAAATTATTTAGTACTTCATTTCATTAATTCAAATTGACAAATAATCATAAAATTATTTTATACATTGATTTAAATTAATAAAATAAAATATCAAATAATTTTTAATTTTTTTAAAAATTTGTCAATTAAATTTATACATTAAAAATTTTAAATTTAACTGTTGAATCATTGAATTTTAATATAAAATATAAATTATTAAATAGAATAAGTTTAAATATATTTACTCTTAAAATAAATTAATCACTCCTTTATATATATATATATACTTCCATTTAACTTTTTTTTTACTCGCGACTTATATTTATATAAAGAAAGGTAGATACATGTTCCCATTATAATTATTTAAACAAAGATAATGCTTCAAGCATTTCTATTTTGGAAATATCTCAGCTATTCTTCGTATAGATGAATGCATGCATCTAATATTTGTTTTTAAAAAAATATAACAGCGTAAAGGGGCAAGAAACATATTTAATAGGAAAAAGTATGCCGTCTGTTATGACCAAATCTCCTCGAAACAGTAGCAAGTGAAAAGCGAGTCTTCAACTTGATTTTGATCATTGATTTTTTGTTGATAATGGTCCGTTTGTTCAATTATTAAAAATAAATATTTTTAACAAAATAAATAATTTTACATTTTTGTATATTTGTCTTAACTTTTTTTTTAAAACTGTTTACATATAATTTTTTCTTTAGATTTTGTTTTGCTGTTCTTTTTCTTCTCATTCATACATGTAAAAAAAAGAAAATTGTGAAATTTAATATTTATAATCATAAGTATAATATCACATATTTCAATATTTAAGTCACTTAAATTTATATTATATAAAAAAATTATTGAAAATATAAGATTTTATTGATTTTTTAAATTTATATTTATTATTAATGAATTCTCTCTCTACATACATGTGCTGATAAAGACAGTAATGAATCACAAAGGGACTATTATAAAAATAAAATTTTTCATAAAAGATGTAATTATATTTTTATATTTTTGTAAAAATTAATTTACTATTATTGAAAATCTCTAAGAATTTATTTTTATTTACAATTAACAATTGTCAATACCGAAAATTAAAAGAATTAAATTTATATATACAAATGATCAAATTATAGATTTTTTACTCTCACAATAAATACAATTTGACACATGTAAATTATTATTTTTTTTAAATCATTTTATGATATAACAAACAAAGTTATCTAAACGCATAATTGTTGATATTAATATACTTGCAAGTCAACAGTGGTTATATGTGTTCTACTAATAAAAGGATTTACTAAAATATGTACTATTTTTTTTTTTATTAATAAGAAAGATTATGATGGTGATAATGAATTCTACATCTTAACATTATGCTGACTTTTTAGTATTCAAATATGGCCTACACTTCTACTAGTAAAACAATTTAAAATTTCTACTAGTAAACCTATTTTAAGAAGATTATCCTACATCTTTAAGGGTATTTATTTAAAATTAAAAATATTTTCAAACAAAATTTTCTTCGATAATAAGTTTAATTATTCCGATATTCAAGTTTAACTATACAAATAGAAATATAATAATTTATTCTATTTTTGAAAATTAATATCTTTCTTTTTGTGATGGTTAATATGTGATGGAACAATAATCTTAATTGTAAATAAATTAAGAATTTTCTTTTACAAGCATATTGTTTATGTAATATTTTAAAAAAGGAGATAAAACTTTCAGTAATTTTTTTTTAAATTAAGTTATACATTCGCTAAATTATAAGCATCAAAATCAATCTAAGTCCAATATTTAAATGGAATCCTGAAAAAATGACAAAGAAAAGTAAACTTGTACATTGCATAAATTAAAACACTAGTTAGATAGCTAATTGAGTTAAATGTCTTTGATAAGAACATTTATATTCTTAATACACGGCTATAATAATTGAAATAAATGACAGGTAGTGAATTTTAATGCAATTCAATTTTAATACATGGGGAAGAAAAAATGAAAGTAAATTTTTCATTCTTGAATTAAGAGAGTTTTATGTTGATAAAATTGAACAAAGGATCAAGCCATGATATTCGTTTTAAAAACTATTTTAGCTATGAAATGCCACTACAATTGTTCAAAAATGTCTTTTATCATCATCCGAGATTTAAAAAATAAAATAACGAAATTTGAGTCACAATAAAATTGGTGTGAGCTAAATCATCAATATAGAACAAACGAACATGACCCCCCTAATTTTTGCAGTCCAATATTGTCAAGCACCGGGAGATCTTTGAGTAGAGGGCCCAAATTTTGGATTGAATGTGAAATGTTATGAAGTTTAACAACAGGCAGATGATAAACACACCTCCACTCTCCGTATAAACACACCCCTTTTTTTAAAATAATATATAAAATGTCTAAATTATTCTTTTAAAAAAAAATTCCTAAATTTACACCTCCCTTCCCCGTATCCCGCTTCCCCGCACCTCCCTTCCCCGCACCAGAACGGCACCAGAACGGGCCGTTCTGCAATAAGAACGGCCCGTTCTGATTGCAGAACGCCCCGTGCTGCTTGCAAAACGCCCCGTTCTGCAAGCAGTACAGGACGTTTTGCTTGCAATACGGGCCGTACTGAAAGCAGAACAGGCCGTTCTTCTTGCAGAACAGGCCGTTCTGTTGCAGTGCAGGCCACCGCGTCACTTTTAAAATGGGTACCTTATGACTGATTTTAAAAGTCATTTTTGTACTAGTGTGTATTTCCATAGAACAAGTAAGAGTCTTTCTTTTACAAGACCATCTGCTGACATTGCGCACCCCTCTTCTTTCTCTTTCTGGCACTCTCCGCTTCTTTTTTTTTTTCCCGCACCTCGCACGCCCCTCTTGTTTCTCTTTCTGGCACTCTTCTTCTTCTTCTTCTTACTGTTACGGAAAGTTCTTTCCGGAATTATATAAAAATGTTCCAAGAAATACTTTCCATAATATTAAATTCTTATTCCGGAAAGTATTTTCCGGAAATGTTTTGTTACATAATTCTGGAAAGTACTTCCCATAATATTAAAGTTACTATTACGGAAAGTTCTTTCCGTAATTATATGAACAATAATTTTACTATTTCGGAAAGTACTTTCCGGAATGCTAATGACCGTAAAAGTACTTTCCGGAATGCTAATGACGGTAAAAGAACCTTTCTTATACTGGTTATGGTGGAGCTAGTCCTTTTTTTCTATTCAGATTGACTGTAAAAGTATATTGCTCAATGACATTGAGCGGAAAGAGGCTTCGGAAAGAAGAGGAGTGTGGAGTGTGGGGTGCGGGGAAGGTGATAGACTATGGCCAAGGCCAAGGAATCCAAGAGGTGATATCTTAAAAGAACCAAGAGGAATGTGATGATCTTTAAGACCTTTTTCATATATTTTGTAAATAGTCTCTTGTATAGGTTATTTTTGCCTTTGTATTTGTGAGGCACTTTACTTGCTTTTTCCTAGTGATTGTATATTGTTTTTAAGGTAGGCTACTTGGAGAGTTTAGCTCCATTTAACCTTCCTAGTTGATACATTCATTTTGTATTTTTTCAGTAGGGAAAAGGGGGTGACATTTAGCAATGCTTGAGGGTGTGCTTAGAAATTGGGCCTGAGTTGGGCCTAGGCAAAATTTTGCATATTGGACTCATTTTGCTCCTAATTTTTCATAGATTTGATTTAGCTAGGTCTCATCATCATATGATGAACCTAACTAAACCAAATCAAGGATTTTCAAATTAAATCATGGAGCATTTTGAGCCAAAGGCCGCCTAGCCCTTCCTTTCCTCTTTGGCCGAAATTTCAAGCATTCCTTCTTGAGTTTTGAAGCTTGTCTTGCAAGCTTCTAAACTCAAGCAAGGTAAGCTTACCTTACCATGGTTCTTAAGTGAACCATGGTCAAGGTTAGCTTCTCCTGCAAGCTAGCTAAACCGTAGGGAGTTAAGTACACCTTACCATGGTTCCTAGTGAACCATGGTTAAGGTTAACTTCTCCTAGAAGCTACCTCTACCCTATATATTTGTAACTCCTTCATTTGTAATCACTTTTGACAAATTTGAGAAATAAAATCTGAATTTCTCTCCCACTCAAGAGTCATAAAACCGTAGAGAGTTCTCTCCTAGGTTTTCTAGCAAAGTTCTCAAACTTTGCTTTGGTTCCTCAAGCTTCCTTCACAAGCTTTAGGAAGTGGCCGAACCTCCTCTTCAAGGCTTCTCCTCCATGGAAGCTTCTTTCATGGAGATTCAAGCTTCTCCAAAGGATTAACCTCAAGAACATTCGGTCCAAGCATGGAGGAGTTGAAGTTCATCAATCTTCTTCAACTTAGCTCCATCAGAAGGGAGGTATAAATTTAGGAATTTTATTTTTTTTAAAGGGTAATTTAGACATTTTATATATTTTTTTAAAAAAAAGGGGTGTATTTATACGAGAGTGGAGGTGTGTTTATCATCTGCCTTAACAACATGAATTGTGAATTGGTACTTAGGAGTAGCAGAGTTGAAATACTCAAGTGCAAGGAGGGGCTTTTGGTTTTGGACCAGTTCAACATAAATGGATTCAGGCTTTTGGACTTAGTATGCATAATAATAGCCCATTCTATTCACACCTCTTTTTTCCCTTCACATTTCCTTTTTTTTTTGTTGGTCTTTTGTAAATTAGTTTCTGAAAGATATTTTTATATTTTCAAAAATAATTTCCAAAATATGAAAAAATGTGCTGCAGAATAACAAAAATAATTTTGATATTAAAAGAAAATTAACTAGTATTTTCTTCCCTCGTCTCTCCTTGTAATTATTTTAAAGTGGTTTGCGTGGTGGTGCGGTTCTTACATGGTATTTTAGCAGAAAGTGAGTGAGAAAGGCAGGAGGCACCAGAAGTGCGATCCATCTAGGGTAGAGAGATGTGGGTGTTTTACCTGATCTCTTTGCCCCTAACAATGGGGATGGTACTATTCACGCTCAGATACTACGCAGCCCCGCACGTCCCTCGCTACGTGCTATTCACGGTTGGATATACCTGGTTCTCTTCCCTCTCCATCATCATCCTCGTCCCCCCTGACATTTGGACGGTACTTGCTAACCTTTCCATAACTATTCACCTTCAATTTATAGCTACAAACAATTCTTATTTTGCTGACTCTAAAACGTTTTCTATTTTCTTCTTTAAACAATTAGGAGGATTTCGAATTTAACTTTGAGACCTTGTTACTTGTTATTGTATCATCCCGCGCCATTTAACCACTTTTTTTGACATCATCTGATAGCTGCATAATTGTATAAGACTGATTTCCTGAGGCCCTTACCTTGCTATAGGAGAACCTATGTCCACTAGTGAGATGATAATAGTGTATATAAATCCTAGTGAGTGTTGTTGGTCTTAATTGGCCATGTGCATGTCTAGTTTGTAAACTTCATGTTTGAGATGTCTGGCTCTCAGTGAGGGAAGATGTGTTAGAGATCTCACATTGACTACTGAAACAGCCATAAAAGTGTATATAAGTCGAGGGTAATCCTTACCTTATAAATTGATTTGATAGGATTGAGTTAGGTCCATAATCCACTTTTGTAAGATATCCAAAGTCCAAATCCTTTGTCAATCTACAAGAGAAACCCCTATATGAAAAACATGTGTGGGACACCTGCATTGCATAGATGCCAAAAAGAGAACTAAGTCCCTCAAAAAATGAGGAGGGAAGAAATTTGTTATTAAGAACTTGAGCATTTCCATTTATTAATAACTATAACCTGCCAACAATGTACAGTGCCGAAGAATTTTACTTTCCCCCTTGCAAATCTAAAATGAGTTGACATGATCCGATACAGGGATTTTGCACAAAACCAAAAAAGCTGATTCCACAGCTTCCAAGTCAATGCTTAATGTAGAAAGGGATTTCTGTGTGTCTCAGAACTCCATTAAAAATAGGAGAAGTAACCTCGTGAGGCAGACGAGTCCAATTCTTATCATTTGTTTATTACCACTATCCAAACAAAAGTCTTCTTCACCTTAAGAGGGGGCCTTAACAGGTTGACCTTCTTGAAGGACTTGGATATTCAAGAACTGGATTTCATTTTATCTGAAACTTGATGAAAGATTTAGGCCTTGTTTGATTCTAGTTGTCAAAACACAAAAGCAGAAAAACATGTTTGGGTAATTATTTTCTACATGTGTTTTAAAATTTGTCTCCAAACTACTGAAAACAGAAATAGAAACAGTTTTTATACTTTTGTTTTTAAAGTCTGATGGTGTTTTTGTAAGTAATAAAACACCTTTTCTGTCTTGTACATTGTGCAATGGACAGATATTGATGTCTTATGTACAATTCTTTTAAAAACTGTTTTTGAAACTTCTTTTTACATTTTTTTCTTCTTTTGTTTTGTTTTGTAAAACAATGCCAAATAAATTTTATAAACTGCATTGCAAATAGGTTTTGAAAGTAAAAAACTAGAATAATTTCAAACAAACCCTTACTCTATTTAGCTTCGGACAGGATGACTTTACAGTAGTGTAAAGACAACAGCTTCCGATTTCAGACAAAACTATTGTGCTACGGTGCTACCTCATGTTGTGGACCAGGCAAATGTATGACCTTTGATTTGTAGTCAAGCATGTCATTTTTTTTTCCTACTTCCATTTGACATTCCTTGGCTAATACATAATATATTACCCTCCCTTCAAAAGGAAGATTTTTGGAATTTAACTTGTTAAATGTTGAATAGAATTGTAAATCATTGATGAATTAGATGTGCTATTAATTCATTTGTATAATGGTGTTTCTTTCTTTAACACCTACAGACAATATCTTCCTACCATGAGAATGGAGGCATTTCATTCTTCTGGAGCTGGTCATATTGGAGTACATTTTTGCTTACATGGTATGCATCATTTAAAGTTTTTACCATTATTTGAGAAAGGCCAAATTTTTGCTCCATGTATTGGATGATGGTCCAAGGCTTTTTTGTGCTCTTTCTATTTATCTTGTCACTGTTACGTTGGTCTATCTTTGCCTGGCAATAAAACATGCCTCTAGACTCCTTATTTGAATCAATGAACTATGTATTTTGTAATGCATATAATATGATGTGGAATGGGATTAAACTGAAATAATTGTTAAATGTGAATGCCAATAATTTTCATCAAAACACATCTGATTAAATTAAGATTATTTTCTTTTGGTTGTGTTACACACCAAGAGAAAGAGTTGAGAGATAAAGAACAGAGAAAAAAATACAACAGTTCTGTGATAGTAGATTGAATGACAAACATAAAAAAAGAAGAAGAAGAAGAAGAGAGAATTCTCTTTCCAAGGGTTTTGCTTCAACAAAGGGTTTCCTTTTTCGCCCTTTCATGACTGAGTTACAGCTCATTTCACCAATACCAGCTATTCTCATTTAATCCTCTTCTACCCTCTCCTACTATCTTAAGATTCTTAACCAACCATACTTTTAACAACTTTAACCGCTTAAACCCATTTTGTTACTGCCCTTAACCACAGCCAATTCTGTAACTACTCTAACTGCTTTTGCCTTGTTTTCCTTTATACTTATTTCTATTCTTAGCCCAATCAGGTTTGCACTGATCCTAGCCAAAAAGGTGGAAATGGAGGGGTGAGTGGGAAAGGAAACGTGTCACTAGAACAGGGATATAAGTGGAGAGAGAGGATAGCTGTGTGGGGGGCCTGGAATATTTTGGTGGAACTTTGACCTTTGGAGAGTCTTTGTTTTCCTTTTTGTTTATATTGTAAACAACAATATATATCAGCATCTGGTCCTTAATCCCTGATCTGAATACGTAAATAATACAGATACTTCAATCCTTATTTGATACCTAACATTTTGGTATCAGAGCTCCCGGTCCTGGGAGCTCATATGGTACTGACGTTTGCAGTCATGGATAGTAGAATTGAGACTTTACTGCAGAGTATTATGGACATGAAGGTTGCAAATCAGTTGGCGATGAACGATTTATGAGAGGGATCCTCCCACCTTAATTCATGGAGATTTGGGTAAGGTTTCAGTGGATGCAGTAGAACAAATGACTGCAGAAAGGAATGCCATGTTAAATGAGTTGAAGGAACAATTAGTTAAGGCTCAAAATAGAATGAGTCAGCAGGCAAACAAACATAGGAGAGATGTTCAATATGATGTTGGGGACAAAGTGTATTTAAAAATCCAACCGTATAAAATGAGGAGCATGGCCTAGAGAGTGAACCAAAAGCTAAGCCCAAGGTTTTATGGCCTCTATGAGATCATAGAGAAGCTCAGTTCCAGTGCTTATAGGCTGCAACTACCGGAAGGCAGCCAAGTCCACGCTGTTTTTCATGTCTCCTTGCTCAAGAAATTGCTAACTGGGACTGCAACCAACCAGCCACTACCTTCTTTTTTAGCAGATGATTGGGGACTCCATGTCATACCTGAAGAAATCTTAGCTGTCAGGACAAATCAGCAAGGAATCTAAGAAGCTTTGGAACAATGGCAGCAACTACCAGCATGCGAAAATTCCTGGGAAAAAGTAGCTGAATTGAAGGAGAGTTTTCCTAATCTCCACCTTGAGGACAATGTGTTAGTTGAAGGGGGGAGAGATGATACAGACCCAAAGAGGCCCATTATTTCTAAAGTATATGTAAGAAGGGCCAAAAGGTGTGATGCACCTGATCCTAGCCAAAAAGGTGGAAATGAGGGGTGAGTGGGAAAGGAAGCGTGTCACTAAAATAGGGATATAAGTGGAGAGAGAGGATAGGAGTGTGGGGGGGGGGGACTCTGGAATATTTTGGTGGAACTTGGACCTTTGGAGAGTCTCTTTGTTTTCCTTCTTGTTTATATTGTACATAGCAATATATTTCAGCATCTGTTCCTTAATCCCAGATCTGAATACATAAATAATGCAGATACTTCAATCCTTATTTCTTTATTTGATACCGAAAAGAAAAAATTAAATAAAATAGAAAATAAAATAAAGTTGGCGAATTTTTCCTGTCTCGACAGATTGGTCAAAACAGTTTTATTCAAAGTACCATAATAATTCTTTGTCATTCGAATTGGAATTCAGTTCAAACTTTCATAGTACAGTCTAGTTTAAGCAAATTTTTTCAAGTTCAGTGTAATTTTTATTAGTTCAGTTTAGTTCATTTTGTCAACCCTTAGCTAAATGCTATTTGGTTTATTGATATTTGTCTTTTCATATGCTTGCCTATGCCTACATACTAACCATTGGAAGGAAGTATTTGGATGGAGTCTACAAATCAGTAATGCAAATTTGCTCATATACTTATGTTATTTCATTGCAGGGCTGTCGTGCCCCTTATTCAGGGTTTTGAAGATGCTGGGGACTTCACTGTATCAGAAAGATTGAAGACTAGTTTACATGTTAACTTGATCTTTTATCTAATTGTGGGATCCATCGGCCTTTTTGGACTTATTCTTCTCATTATGATGCGTAAGCGCTGGTTGGTTCTCATTCTCTTAACCTTAGTTGTTTTGAAATATATTAAAAAAAATTGTTACATGAAATTCGCTCTTAAGATATTGCTTCCTAGAGTTTTTTTGGCAATATTTGGCTGCAAATTTTGTCATGCCTGATATATTGCAGAAGCTTTCCCAAATACTCTTTCTAATGCTTTTGTAATTGTGAATAATGAGGATTTGTGTTAACCGCTTTGTATGAGCCATCCATTATGCACTACTTTATGGGTTAAAGTCATGCAGTAGCTAGTTAGATTTTTATCCAATGCATGTATTTTATTTATTTATTATTTATTTGCATATACTCCAGAGGCTATCACATTTCCTCTGTGGGAGATTTAAGGGTCATAGCAACCACACCCAGTGTTTCAACTTTCAACACATTAAAAAGCATGGGAGATTTTGGAAAGTCACAGATTTACTAAAGTTACATATAAGTCAGCTTTTCAAAACACTATTCAGTAGTTTGTTTGTATGGTTGACATAGAAGTCATGGACACATAAATGCCTACCTTCTATCAAATTACTTTATATTTTTTGGAATGATGTTCATGGTTGACAAATTAACTTTCAATTAACCTTTTTTTATTTCTACCCACGTGTGTGTACGTTTCTTGATTTCAAGTTAAGACCTACTTTGTTTTTTAAATGATTTCTAGTTGGTTGCTTCTTCTAAAAACAGGACTGGAGGTCTTTTGGGATTAGCCATGGCTTGCTCGAATACTTTTGGACTGGTTACTGGTGCGTTTCTTCTTGGCTTTGGTTTAAGTGAAATTCCCAAAAGCATATGGAGAAATGCTGACTGGATAACCCGCCAGAAAGTACTTTCCCACAAAATTGCTAAAATGGCTGTTAGACTTGATGATGCTCACCAAGAACTTTCAAATGCTATTGTTGTAAGTGGTGCATATCTGCACATGCAAGCTTGAAAGTTTTGTTGATCTCTTGCCAATAAAATAAGAACTGATTATTCTTGTTTGTGACTGATTTGTGTCTTATTCTTGTGATCTTATAATTGAACCCCCTCTCCCCCAAGTTGTCTTCCTCAAATCTAGTTGAGTTAATTTGAAGTTATGGATACACTGGAAATATAGTAATTTTTAAATGTATAAGCAAAGCAAAGCAGTAAAATGGATTTGTTGCTGGTACGGATGGAAAAATGGATTCAATCCATTGTGTTGGCCTGTCTAACGGGCAGGTTGAGTTGGAATATTCAACTGACTTTCAAATCGGGTTCAGTCCAACCCAACTTGTTTTTGAGCGGGTTGCATTAAGTTAACTTTTTTTTTTTTATAAATATTTTCCTTATATTTATGGTAACCCACAAAACTTATTTGTGGTTGTATACTTATTGCTATTAATGATCTATAATATTAATGTTTCTAGTTTTGACAATTTATGGCAATTGGTGGATATATCTGATATTTCAAGTATTTGGATATTTTGATAGACGAATTGATGGCTATTATGATAATGTTTGGATAATTTATGTTTTTTCCCCTATTTTTTTATTTATGTGGTGGGTTGACTCATGGATCACCTTTTTCATAACCCTTTTTTTAAAATTATGGTGGGTCGCCCAACCCAACCTGCTACTTGTCTTGGGTTTTTGGTTGGGTTAGGTTTACTCATTTTGCCATCCCTAGCTGGCTGTCAAAGGTCTCACTAGCCCTCTCCTGATGCAAGACCAGTCCATCATCTGTAAATGCATGCCAGTCATCCAAGTAGTCAATCAGTAGGTGGCAACTGCAGCAGCTGCTGGATTAACTTGGTTTGTACTGTGGTCTTGATGCTGCTGCTGGCAGTGGTCCTTTTATGAGCAGGAAAAAAATTGGGAGAAAATGAAAGTGGAAAAAACTAGAGAGCTCATAATACTACATAAAAATAAGTCTGTGCCCACCATTGGTGTAGGACGTGTATTCATATGCAGTAAACTGGGCTATTAGTACATTGTACTACAAAGTACATAATTATCCTCAAGTGCACATTAATAGACTACTATTAGCAATGTGGGTGGGGGAGATGAAAAGTAGAAATGACTCTACACAGTTTAGTTGAACTTTATAGATACCCAGATTTTAATGTGTGATTTATTTCTGTAGGTTGCTCAAGCCACATCCAGCCAGATGTCCAAGCGTGATCCTCTGAGACCCTACATGGATGTAATTGATGATATGCTAACTCAAATGGTATTGAGCTTAGATTTCTCGATTAAAAATTATGAGTACAGAACCTGGGCTGGACCTTTGTTTGGATATAACCTTCAATTTTCCAGTTTAGGGAAGATCCATCCTTCAAACCACAAGGTGGCCAATTAGGGGGAAGCGATATGGATTATGATACTGATGATAAGTCAATGGCAGCACTAAGACGTCATCTTCGAGGAGCTACTGAAGAGTACTACAGGTATAAAAGGTAAGCAAACGATCAGCTCAATCTTTTAAGTGGGGTGATTCGAAAAACAGTTCTTGAAACCTTTATAGCTGTCATGCATTGTAAATTCAATTCTTATATTCTTCCAAAGAGTATAAACACCTAATAGAGTAGTATTCATTAGAATTTTCTTCTTGTTAATGATAATACTGTTGGGAATGGGAAAGATAACAAATAAAACTGCCTAATACAAGGCCAAAAAATGAATTATTATCCCTAGATCTAACTTTTCCCACACTTTATGTAATCACAATGAGATGATAAAATGAATAGCTTCCATTAAAAATATAATGGGGATACAATACACTTGAATCTGAATAATTTTCATGTTATTGAATTGATGGATACAATAAAATAAATAGGCATAAAACATAATCAATCCCTAAAGTTTAGGGATTTAGATAAAACTAACTAAAGAAACTAAACTAGAAATTAGGAGAGGATAAACTAGTATATCTAAACTATATCTTATAGAATTATCTTAACACTCCCCCTCAAGCTGGAGCATATGTATCATATGCATCTAGCTTGTTACATATATATGTTATCCTAGGGCCTCGTAAAGATTTAGTAAAGATATCTGCAAGTTGATCCTTGGAGCAAACTGAGGAGGTCTTGATGATACCGGAGATGATCTTTTCTCTGATGAAATGGCAGTCAACCTCTATATGCTTTGTTCTCTCATGAAAAACTGGATTAGAGGAGAGGTATAAAGCTGACTGGTTATCACAAACTAGTTCCATATGACCAACCTTGCAAAACTGCAACTCTTGAATTAAGAATTTTAGCCACAAGAGCTCACATGTGGTGTGAGCCATAGCACGATATTCTGCTTCTGTACTTGATCGTGCAACAACACTTTGCTTTTTACTCTTCCATGAGACAAGATTACCACCCATGAAGTCACAATAGCCTGATGTTGATCGCCTATCACTTGCATCACCTGCCCAATCTGCATCTGAATATCCAACAATGTCTGTATGTCCTCTATCATTGTAAACAAGTCCTTTTCCTGGAGATCTTTTGATGTATCTAAGGATTCGAACAACTGCAAGCCAATGACTCTCACAGGGAGAGTTAAGAATCTGACTTACAACACTCACAGGAAAAGATATATCAGGTCTGGTCATGGTGAAATAATTCAATTTTTCCACTAATCTCCGATATCTCCCTGGGTCAGGATAAGGCTCCCCGTGATTAGGCATAAGCTTCACATTGGGGTCCATGGGAGTGTCAACTGGCTTACAATCTGTAAGTCCGGTCTCTTCTAGAATATCAAGGGCATATTTTCTTTGAAAAATAGCAATACCAGACTTTGACTGAGCGACCTCAATCCCAAGGAAATAACGTAGGAGACCTAAATCCTTAGTTTGAAAGTGTTTAAATAAATGTTGCTTCAGAGCCTTGATGCCCTCCTGATCATCACCTGTAATCACAATATCATCTACATAAACAATAAGATAGATAAATCTATGTGTCAATGAGCGTCTAAAGAAGACAGAGTGGTCTGCCTCACAGCGGATCATTCCAAATTCCTGTATAACTTTGCTAAACCGACCAAACCAAGTACGAGGTGATTGTTTGAGTCCATACAAGGACTTTTGTAATTTACATACAAGACCAGACCCCCCTTTAGCAACAAACCCGAGAGGTTGACCCATATAAATCTCTTCCTTCAAATCACCATGTAAGAAGGCATTTTTGATGTCTAATTGAAACAAAGGCCAATGCCTCATAGCAGCCATGGCTAGGAAGAGACGAACTGAGGCCATCTTTGCAACTGGAGAGAAAGTGTCGCCGTAATCCAAACCATATACTTGCGTGTATCCTTTAGCCACAAGACGAGCTTTCAATCTATCCACTTGTCCATCAGGGCCCACTTTACATCTGTGGAAATAAAATATGGTGTATCTTCAAAGAAAGTGACATCTGTACTGGTATAAAATCGATGCGTAGCAGGAGAGTAACAACGGTACCCCTTTTGGACACGGGAGTATCCTAAGAACACACATTTGATGGCCCGAGCAGACAACTTATCACGTCCTGAGAAAAGATCATGGACAAAACAAGTACAACCAAAGACACGAGGATGAACAGAGTAAAGGGGATCCAATGGGTATAATAGGGAATGAGGTACTTGATCATTCAAGACAGACGATGGCATTCGATTTATTAAATACCCTGCAGTGAGGACAGCATCGCCCCACAACTTTGGGGGTGCATTGGCATTCAATAAAAGAGTACGAGCAGTGTCCACAATATGTCTATGTTTTCGCTCAGCTACACCATTTTGTTGAGGTGTATGAGGGCAACTAGATTGATGTAGAATGCCATGGGAAGCCATAAATGATTTGAAGCAATCTGAAAAATATTCTTTAGCATTATCACTTCGTAAAATCCGAATTACTTTGCCAAATTGAGTTTTGATCTCCGAATAGAAACTTAGGAAAATATTGAATAACTCAGAACGATTTTTCATTAAAAATATCCAAGTACATCTAGAAAAATCATCAATAAAGGTGACGTAATACCTATGTCCCAAAAGAGAAGGAACGCGACTAGGACCCCAAACATCAGAATGAATAACATCAAAAGGAGACATAGCTCGACTATTAATACTATTAGGAAAAGAAGCTCTAACATGCTTCCCTAATTGACACGACTCACACTCTAAGGACTCCAACCGTGAGAGATGAGGTACCATTTTCTTTAATTTATTCAAGCTTGGATGACCCAGGCGACGATGAATTAAACCAGGAGACTCAATAGATGCACATATGGTAGAGGTAGAAGGCTGAAGGTAGTAGAGACCATGTGATTCAGATCCGGCTCCAATCGTCTGTCCCGTACTCCGGTCCTGTATCAAGAAAGAATCAGAAGTGAAGGTTATGACACAGTTTAGTGACCGAGTCAACTTACTTATAGAAATCAAATTAAAGGGACATCCAGGAACTAGTAAAACAGATTTTAATGGTAGTGATGGGAGAGGTGATATTTGGCCAATACCAGTGGCTTGGACTTTTGACCCATCTGCAAGAGTGATATGATGTGGAGTTTTAGGTGATGATAGGTTACGGAAAAGGGAGACATTACCAGTTAGGTGATCAGAAGCACTGGAGTCCAAAACCCAAGGTCCAATAGACGTAGAATGAGAGAGACAGACGGTAGAATTACCAGTATGAGCAACAGTGATGGAGGAAGGGGCCTGTTTAGTTGCCTTTAGTTGAAGATACTCTTTGTAATCATCGGCAGATAATGTGATTGGATGATTGCTGTTGGGTTCAATCTTGACTTCTAGAGCCGAAGTCGGAGATTGAACCACTTTAGCTGTCTTGCTCGGAAAGCCATGCAAGGAATAGCACTTGTCTCGTGTATGCCCATCTCTTTGGCAGTAGGTACAATGGAGGTTTTCTCTATCCCCTTTACCACGAACACAACCTCGACCACGCCCTCGACTTCTATGGTCAGTTGAACTAGGGATAAAAGAAGAGGGTGTGCCATTCTTGGAAGACTCTGCCATGAAGAGAAAAAGGAGAAGAACAGCAAAAAAAAACACCTCCAAACAATCCCGAAAGACCTTCGAGACAGCAACCAAACAGTCTCGAAATTCCGTGGCAGCACCCAAACAACCACGAAAATCCAAGCAGCAACCAAACGACCACCTACAGTGTGACCCACAACCTAAAAAGGGTCAAAACAAGAAGAGGGAGGGCCGGCGAGTCCAACGGTGCAAACGGCGTCGCAAACGGAGGCCTGGAGGGCGGCGCGTGAGACACCGTTCTGGAGGCGGCTCGCGACGGAAAGGCCGATCGGCGACCTCTGAACACTCAGGCGGCGTCAACTCCGACAACCGCTGACAAAATTCGAAAAACCCTAGATGCCTTGGTGGCGGCTGGGTTAGGGTTTCCAAACCAGGACCAGAATGCTCTGGTACCAACTTGAATCTGAATAATTTTCATGTTATTGAATTGATGGATACAATAAAATAAATAGGCATAAAACATAATCAATCCCTAAAGTTTAGGGAGTTAGATAAAACTAACTAAGGAAACTAAACTTGAAATTAGGAGAGGATAAACTAGTATATCTAAACTATATCTTATAGAATTATCTTAACATACTAATAATAATCTCACAAATATAGTGGGTAAACACTATTTTGATAGTTCACTCAAAAGGATTCTCTCTCAGGTAGCAGTGAAGTTAAATTTCTCTCAAAAACTCTGTTTTTGGTTTCTCAAAAGGATATGTCAAAACAACATAGAAATAAGCATTATAACCAAATCTGATAACTAATGAGTGGCCTAGAATGAAGAGTTTTACTTCTTTTCCTTTCCATTAAGTTTCTATAAAAATCTTGTACTCTATTTCTTATTTTATTTAGTATTATATTTCCTTATCTTTCCCTTCTCCACTAAAGAAGGAAAACCCATCAAATATCCACTGTTTAGTGATTAGATCACTAAAAGATTTCCCTTTCTTACATGGACCATGCAGGTTAGTTTGTTAGCATTTTTTTTTAACTATATCCCCTTTTGAACCTCCTTATAATGGCTTTGTTTAATTGGTTTTACTTGAATGAAGAATAGTTTTAGCTTTGTTTCCTAGCTTGTAAGAATAGGAAAACCATTGTAAAACTTGGCTTTCTGGTGGTATCCAACGGGGAAACGTATCTCTACCTGCCACGTACAGGATGAGCATTGAAGAGATCAGATTGTAGAAAAGACTATTTCACTTACTGAAATATTTTCATTTATATAATCCATACTAGCTTTGATGGAATATTAATTCCTTTTGTTCATTGGCATTGTCTGACACTTTCACAGCAGTCTATTATCTAGGTATACATGTTAGGTTGATAATTTGGTTCTATCACTTACTTCTTTCACATCATTGTAGCGAGTATATGACTTACGTGCTAGAAGCCCTTGAATTGGAAGATAAGATAAAGAATTATGAGCGCCGCAACACAACTGGATGGTTTGCTTTTACTTATGTTTTATTTTCTTTTCTTTTTGTTTTTGCACCCTATCAATATCCTTTTAGAGTAAATATATATAGGTTGTTCCAGCTTACCTTACTCAATTTTTTATGCTTTCATTACAGGAAATATATGTCAAGCATTAGACCTGCTCGGAGTGGCAAATTGGGGTCTTTATGTGACACTTTAGGTAATTAAAATAAAGACTATTAACCTTTTTGTTCTTAACTTCAGTAAATTCTTTTCCCCATTCAACTGGAATTGCATTTACTAGTTATAATTAGCAAGACTATTTCAGTTAATTTCCATTAGTTCCCATGAACATGTTACCCTTTCTGTATATATTATGATGATATCAATAACAAATAATGCAGCATATCTGTCCCAATTGCCGTTACTTCCTATGCAAAGGAGACCTTTTGTGCAACTCTATTTTACATATTTTTATTTTGCAGTGTATGTTGAAACATTGAGTATTTGGGAGAAATTGCATATCTTGTTTACACTAAGTTCATCTTACTATTACTATGCATCACGTACTTGATTAATCAAGTGCTATTTACAGAGGTAATTAACAGTTATCAAGAATTTGTCACAGCTACAGTTGCCTAATATTCTAATATGCCAAATATGTTAATGGGTCTAGACTGGGATTTTAACCCTCCTTACGTTAAAGCTTATTATGCTCTCATTTTGTTACAACTAAACACACAAACAAACACAATCAAGATTTGAAACAACTCAGGGAAACTCAACCAAAGATCTTAAACAATTAGTATTCACATTGACAGTGTTCCTGGTATATAGCTCTTCAAAATCTTTGGTCAAAATACTTGGACTCTTTGGCATTTTCACACTTATTTGACTTTAGGCAGTTCTCAATGTCTTCAATCTTCTATACCTAGGTGTTATTAGACCTGTTGACATTCTTTCAACTACTCCACAGTCTAGGTCTGCCTTCTGCGTACTTAATTCCCTTATTATTACCCAAGATTTCAAGCCACAATCTCCCAAATCTCAAGGTAGCAAGACAACAAAACTCCAGATGACAGCACCCATGATTTATCCTGATCTGCTCTGAAGCATATCATTGGTCACAACTTACATCTCCACAACACCCTTGGCTGCATCTACATGTTATGATTCTTTTGGTCACTGACCATCCGTCCGTTCCAACCATTGAGTTGGAACACAGCATCTCATTCTGATGCCAAACAGGCCATCATAACATGCTATAGCCACCCATTATGGTCCCTTAATCAACTCCCATCCCTGCAAATCCCTAAGTCACACTCATCTGGCCTACCTCCTTGGTTAAGTCTGGCCATAAACAAACAGCATTTAATGTGAATTTTTGTCATGCATCAAATGCCAAGAAAAGTCATAAAAAATATCTTAAGCTAGTGAAGAGAAATTGATCAATCACCAGCGGAAGCAAACACAATTATAAACAGATTTGATTCAACAAACAAAAGGAAACAAGATGAAAAGATATACAACACAGCTCCATTGGAACCCAATACAGCTAGGAAATGCACAAATGTCGGTTACAGATACCTAGTTTAAAAATATGGTATTTGGGAGATAGTGTAGGTCTTGTGTAGCAACAGTTTTTATTTTTTTTACATGAAGAGTGCATTATTGAGCACGTGAGCAAATCAAGGACTAGTGAAGCAAATTGGCAGCTATTAATATGTCATAATTATAGTTGACTAATATTTTAATATGTGCTATATGTGATGATGGTAAATTTAAACTATTATGCTAACAGTGCATAATTCTGGATTTGACTCTTCTAAAGTATATAAAGTGATAAAGAAAGAGTACATCCACCCATGATTTCAAGTGGGTTAAGTTTATGATATTTTTAATTTAAATCAATGGTGGATACTTGATTCCTTACTCACTTTACACACTTTCTTACTTTAGAGAAGTCAAATCCATTAATTGTTTATGCATATAGAGTAGAGTGAATTAGTATTCAATACAATTATGGACATCAAGTCGTTTAAAACATTTGAAGTTTCTTAATGTTGGTTTCCCTAGGTTTTGAAAGCATGGAGAATTTGAATCTAATATTTGCAAACCTGGTGAGAATTTTATGTAATTTGGTGATACACATGTATGCTTTCTTTGGCTTCAAAGATTCCTAAATTTCATTTTGCTTCTGTCTTGCAAAATGTTTTTCCTTTCTCTGTTAGGTTTCCTGCTGCATTTGATGTTGCATCATTTCATCATGACATCGCATACTCCTTCCTTTTATAAATATGGAATATATTAATTAGAGGAATTTGTCATAGGCATCTGAATAAACAGTGGCTATTTGCAGAATTTATGTGGCGATGCATTTTAAGAAAGCAAGTTGAGAAAGGCTTGGCTGTTATACTTGGTATCATGTCCATTACAATTCTTTTAGCAGAGGCAACTCTTCTACCTAGTGTTGACCTATCTCTTTTCTCGATTCTTATCAAATCTGTTGGAACAAGGGAGGTGCTTGTGCAGGTAAATCCAGTTTTATAAGAGATCAAGTGTTTTTAGCAAATGTGGACGTAGATACACTGTGTGTGTGTGTATCTAGAATTAATTCTAGAATATTGAAAATCTTATAATTTAAAGAAAATTGAAGTCTATCTGGTCTCTTGAACTTCTTTGTGATTGAGTAACATAAACTCTTTTGGTGTACATATTGGTCAATTTTACATGTGTTTTTTTTTTTTGAATGGTTGGTTCTCTGCCTATCTTTTTCTAGCAAATTAAACTTGCTTCCTTTTGGTTTAAGGCTGTAATTAATTACCTGTGAATTTGTTACTTACATCATATCTAGTTGACAAAAGGTTTAAAATAAAATAATTTTTGGAGTTGGGTTATACATGAAATTATGCTAACAATTAACAAATAACTCGTTTAATCGAACTGGATGTCTTTTCTTTGATAAAATGCATTATTTAAAATGAAGATGAACTGCTTTTTGAATCCCATTTCCTCAATTTCTCTCTTAGGCATTTGCTTTTGTACCTCTCGTGTACATGTGCATCTGCACATACTACTCCTTGTTCAAAATTGGAATGTTGGTGTTTTACTCGTTGACACCCCGGCAGACCAGCTCAGTTAGCTTGCTTATGATATGCTCGTAAGATTTTATTCACTATTGCTACTTATTTTTGTTTCTGGAATCGCTAGTGCTATCTATCAAATATCATTTTTCTATCTCATTTCCAGTATGATTGCTCGTTATGCTCCCCCTATCTCATACAACTTTCTGAATCTAATTCGCCTTGGTTCTGATAAAACAACTATATTTGAACAGGTAATTCTTGTATCACGGTTTAATTTAATGTATTGCTTTACTCTTTAATATTCTTTTCCGAACTTGTATGTGTATACTATTGTTAAGAACTATCAGCCTAGTGTTACGAAGTTAGAGAAAGAACTAGCAATAAAACTAATAGCCTAATAATCCTAGTTAGAGAAGGAAATAAATTAGAAAATATAACAAAATCAAGAAACAACCTCTTGCTTTACAATTAGCTGAGTAACTTGATTCCACAATAAGTTCTAAAGACATTCTACAATAAATGAAAGATATCTAAATATTCTTTTAACAAAGTATCAAATCATTTCTCAGTTTTTAATTATCCTGGATATTGCCATTATAATGGCCATACTGATTAGGTGTACGGCATATTGTAAGTAGAAAAAGATAGCACTGAAATATTTATTCATTAAGTTTAAAGACCTCCCCCCCCCCTTCCCTTCTTCCCCATTTATTGTACTAGATATATGTACTTAATTTGAAGTGCCTGATTGTTTTGTTGTCTTTTATTTAGTCACTACATACCTTTACATAATCTTTCACGTTATTCCCTTAAGCCAAACTAATAAATCATTGACGGTTGTATCAACATTTTTGCTTTCTTACCTTCCTATTAGTTTTTTCTAATTTGGTGCATTACACGACTGACTGCAGCGAATGGGGAACATTGATAATGCTGTCCCTTTCTTTGGAGACAAGTTTAACAAAATCTATCCACTTATTATGGTTATATACACCCTTTTGGTTGCAAGCAACTTCTTTGACAGGGTATTTGATTTTCTCGGGAGCTGGAAGAGATATGTTTTTGAAACTGAAGCCGAAGATATGGATGGTTTTGATCCATCAGGATTAGTTATCTTGCAGAAAGGTATGCAAGCTAAGAATTCTGTACTTGTCAAAACTTTAGTTCAAATATTAAATGACAAATCATATGTCTAAATTAGTGAACCTTATGAAATGTGGGATTTATGATACTTAATTACTTATGCTGATATAATAATTTGTAGAACGATCTTGGCTCGAACAAGGACGGAATGTAGGCGAGCAAGTTGTTCCACTAGTGAGGAATTTTAATGGAATTGATGTTGAATCAAGTGACAATATTATGGTATGTTAACACCCCACTGTAAAGAAAATGGAATCAATCTTCTCTCACTATTTTATCGTCCATGCAAATGGGTAGTTTAACATCATGGCTTTGATCTTTGATGGCTGCATGATATGACATTTGCTACTCTTCTTGTGGTCGAAGTTCAAACAGTGCACTCACTTTATAGCTGATGTGGTTCAGGTGAAGAATGGTGTTGAAATGAAAGGAACTGCTGCATTAGTTAATACAGAAACAAATGGCAATCTGTCTAAAACAATGAAGGAAGAGACAAGGAGATATAGCTCAAGCAGGGAAGCCATCAGCAGCAAATATGCTGCTTTCAGACAGCAGAGTGGATTCACATCTAAATCGAAGGCAGAAGAGAAAAATTTAGCATCTGCTAAGGTTTCTTTTGTCGATCGCGATGATACTCATTCTAGTAATGCTACTGGAACTTCAGGCTTGGCTTCGAAATGGCAAACAATGAAAACAGGTTTTCAGAGTTTCAAGGCTAACTTTGGGGGCAAAGGGTTTTTACCCGTACGGCAAACACAGGATGCTATGATCTCTCGTGTGTCCTCATCAGAGTCCCTTGATGATATATTTCAAAGACTGAAACAACCTGCATTGGACCAAAATATTCGCAATGACGACTATTATTTGATGGGGGGCAATAGTTCTGGTCCTTCTAGATGACATCCATAATTTAGGCGAGAAGTGACAACTGTTCTATAATTGATCATGCAAAGCCACATTAAAATGTACAGTTTATTGTTTCCTTTGGTAGTTTATACCCCATATTCATTTTAAAGATAGTCTTTGATATAGGAATACATACTCGTTATACATCGGTAACACCATAGAAAGAATACTTCAAATTGCACCATTATACAGCGTTGCGGATACTTGTTTTGTTTTGATTCATAATCTCATTTCATTTACCCGTTTAGCATACAACACCATTGTACAGCGTTCTAGATCTACTTTTTGCCATAGTATCTACGCCCTGATTAAGTTTTCTTCTTTTGGGTAGTGTTATATACGAAATCTTTTTCATCTTTGGGAATCATATCTTTTTTTTTTTTGGAAATGTTATAAATATATTTGATACGACCAAATCATTTTCAGAAATGAGAGATATAATAATTATAAACAAATTCCTCCAAAGGAATCCTAGATTTCTACCTTCTTTCGTGAGAAACTTAAAAAAAATTCTTCATAATGTTAGATTCTACATAGGAATTTAACATTCCTAACCTAAGATTTCTGAAATTTTTTGAAAACCATAAAAGAATTCTCTTGAAATCCCTCCCCAAAGTCACAATAGATAAGTACTAACACGTGGAGCAATGGGAATAGAAGGTGCCATCATATGGTAGTTGTTAAATTGCGCAGCTGGTTTTAAGAATGAAATATTCTAACCCGATTTATCTTAAAACGGGCAGTGAACTGAATATCTTAACATAAAGAAAACCAATTGACATCCCCGGAACAAGCCAATAGCCATCTTAACTGTAGAAAACTGTGCTCATCCCATCCATCCTCTCATTAAGAGGTGAGTTTAATTTTGATCTAAATTACGATATAATCAATCATGTGTAGTTACACCAATTAAAAACAGGATCATCAAAATAAAGGACCTAAGAATGCCAAATCTCCCTCCCTTGTTGTCCTTGAACGCATATGAAGGCCTCTTTGGTGTTCTTTCTGGTCAATTTGAATAGCTTGGACCAAACACTTGTTTTCTTTCTTCCCCTGTTGCTTCCATTGACTTCCCTATCAAAGGCAATGGACTTACTCTTCTTCAACTCATGATTGAAGGTGGTCATGGAAGAAACAGAATCCATGGCGATGGAACTATGGCGGCGATAGTGGTGGTGGTGGCGTGACACATAAGAAGGGAAAAGTTGAGGTTGAGGGGAAGGAGGAGAGGGAAGAGGGTAAGTTGGATTGTAGTTGTTGTTGTTGTTTAGCCTCGAGAGTTTGTCTCTTAAGCAATAGGGGCAAACACCTGGTACTTGCTTGTTATTTGGATGGTCCTTGCACCCTCCTATCACGCCTTCTAACTTCATGTCTATTCTAATGCACCTACTTTCTTCTCTTACGTCTCTCTCCCTTCTCTCAATTTATAGATTCATTAGTCCTACGTGCAATTCATAGAAAATGAACAAAGTACTACTTTCCACGAAATTTCATCTTAATATAATCACCCAATCAACTTCTATGACTGCGTCCAATCTAATCCTGCTTCTCGATGATTATTTATTTCTTCCCTTAAATTATTTTTTTAACGCAATTTTAACAGGAAATGATGTCAACCAATTTAGTAATCGCGACCGTGATTACCACAACATAATTATGAATAATACTAGTCATAGTCACTACTACTTCACAACATTTACAAGCCTGTTTGGGGTGCACGAGTGTCCAAAACTTCTGTAACGTGATTTTTGCAAAAGGAAAAAAATCTCACCATTGAAAAAGGAGGTTATAACGGGAAATTAAATAGACTGTATATTATTTTTATGGGAAAATGTCCTTAGGACACTAGAAAAAAAAAATTAAAAGCAAAAAGTTTTTGTTCACTTTCCTATGTAATTTTATTATATTTTTTAATGAAAAGTTTTTACATATTGATTCCTTAACCAATTGCTCAAAATATCTCAAATGTAGTTCTTATAAATAATTTATTAAGATTTTTATTTTATTTTAAATTATGTCCATTATGTCACATCATTTTTAAGTAATTCACACTACGTTTTTACAAATTTTGTTTTAATAATGAAATCTTATAAATAATCTATATTTTTATTAAAAAAATTATTTACACTTCACCTTTTTGACAACTTAAAAATTAATGTAATTATTATAATTAAATATTAATTTAATTAAATATAATAAATAATATTTTTAAATTTTGGGAGTGATTTATATTTTAAATAACGTTACTTATTTTTAAGTGATTTCTTATGTCATCACACCCTATTATTACTTTACTTATTAGTAAGATACATCCGTACATTACAAACATTTTGCAATGGAGATGTTTTCGGTGAAATTCTATTTTTATTTTAGATATTTACTAATTTTAATCAATTACCAAAAAAAACCAAATCTAAACATATTAATTTTGTTTGACTTGTTTGTATTTTTTGGTTTAAATTAAATTAAATTAATAAAATTCAACATTTTTTTGATTCAGATATTGATTTTATAATCTAAGGCTTGTTGACTGGTTACTTGAATCATTTATTGGGATTAGTTATAAATTAAGAAACAAATCTGCCGTAAATTAAGAATATGATATTATATGTATATTTCTTATTTATTGTATATTACTCATTCATATCATTTTGTTTGATATTTCAATAAAAAAATATTTTGCATTAATTTTCATTTAAAAATATCAATAACGTATTGTTTTATTCTATTGTTAACTATTTATTTATCGTAGAGTGATAAAGTAAAAGAAATATAGGTTGGAAAAAGTATAAATAATATAAAAAGATAAAATGTATATTAAGAAATTATATAATAAAATTTATGAAATTTAAAATATTAATTGTATTTCTTGATATTTGTCTAAAAATCTAAAACATTAAATAAAATGGAATGAAAAAGTATTAAGAAACAAAGATGTTGTAAACCATGACCACATTTCGTATTAATAACATCATTATCAAAAATATGTAAGGGTTCGTATTTATCATTTTGTCTAGGGTCCATAAAATGTCAGGTCCGACTAGGCATGGCAACGGGGCGGGGCGGGGGCGGGTTTTACGTTATATATAGTAGATAATCAGTAAA